TATAAGTCGCAAGCGACTCGACGGCACATAACAAGAACAACAACAAAGATTAACAAGAAATTCATTTCCACACAATTTGAGGTTCAAAATATTTTGGAAACTACACTCTACCCTAAGATTGCACGGCCAAAGGAAAGGTACGTGGTCCAAATCCACAGCTTCTCTGTGAGAGGAAAATGGACAATGAACTTCCACCATCTCAGAAAACCACTTGGAGGGTTAGCCATGGTCAGGTCTGACTTGACAGTACACAACAACTCTTAAAAGTTTTAAAGTCTCCATATTGACTAAGATGACACTCTAATATTCTTGTGAACTACGGAGTTGGAACTGACCCATAGCTGACCCTCCAGTGGGTTTTCAGAGACAGCAAATCGCACATGAGGAAACTGCCTATCTTCTGTGGAGCAGCGGCTGGCCTCAAACTGCATACCTTTGGGACTGCAATGATTCTGGCCCCTAGGCCATTCAAATTAAATGCATATTTATAAAAGAAAGGGGAAAGATCTGGTGTGAAAAACTATGTGCATGCGCTTTATGAACATTGTATGTAAAAAAGTATACAATTTTAAAAAATAAATGCTGAGTAACAGAAAAAATTTAAATGCATATTTAAAATCATGTTTCAACAAAAATTGGGAAAACCAAATCCTTCATTTTTATTTAAATTCTTTAAACTTACACAATGGAATAAAACCAATTTAAATTTATGGGGGAAAATTATGCTATACATCTTGTAGTTGTTGTTGTGTACCATCAAGTCAGAACCAACCTACAGCTGACCCTCCAGCAGGTTTTCAGAAGCAGTTAATCACACTGGAAGAGAATGCCCATCCTTCTCCATTATATATCTTAAGCAATTAAAATATAATTATCTATTTAATGTAGCTTACTACTGTAGACAAATGGAACTCTAGTGTTATTAGGAAACAGTCTAGAATAAAAATGACATTTACTTGACATTTTCAAATGTTCAAATCATGGTTATTAATTTATTAAAAATTCACCTGTTGATGGAGAAATACAGTAGTCATCTTCTACTGACTGGCCATAGAGATCATCATCTTCAAAATCTAAAAAACACAAGATAAAAATCATTCATGGACCTGTTTTTTTATATTTTCAGTCAATAATAAGAAAAAGTCTGAAACCTCTTGAAAATAAATTATATCATTTGTTAAATTAAGGGAACCTGCACTATTCCAATTTTTTTTCCAAAATTTTAAGAATTTCTCCTACAAAAGAGGCTTTACTGGCAATCTGCTTTCACAAAGACAAACATATCTTCAGTTTTTAATAATTAGGTTTTACTAAATTTTTCCAAGTTCTAACTTTATGTGCTCAGAAAATAATAATCCTAGAGACCACACTCCTTATTTGTCTTTCCAGTGCTGACAAAAAATACAAATAAGGCAACCAGCCTTTTTTTTCACCAAGTGCTATCTATAACCAAAAAACTTATTTTCTATACAATCAACTAGCACTGAGCACACAATCCAGCCATGAAAAGCAGGTTTTCATCACGTGAAGCCAGGTATGCGATGCTGCGCAGGTTTCAATGGAGTTTCCAGAATGAGAGACAAGGAAGAAAGGGCCAATGATCTACTTCTAGAAAATGGAAAGGGATTTTTAAAAACATTTATCTACAACATCATAATGGCCCAGTCCCACTGAGCATGGAGTTAGCATGAAATGGGAAGCAATTCGATGGCTGCTAACAACCTACACTATAAAAACCAGCGTCCCTTTTCAGCAGGAAGTAGCTAAGAGAATACGCCATCCCCTTTTCCTTATGAATCAGGGTGAAGTCTCTCTCAGGGAGGAGTGATAGGGAATGGCAAAGGACACACCAACAAAGTCAGAACTGACTTTGACAAGCACTGTGGCAATTGGACAATTAAAACAGACATTCGGATGGCGGATGGCGGGGAAGAAGAACAAACTGGGGAGGAGGGTGGAGAGAATGGTGCAGCAATGAAGGAGTGAAAGCCCAGAATCCCTGTCAATGTTCATTGAAACTAATAAAATTTAATAATAATTAAAAAAAAAGACAACAAAAAAAAAAAAAAACCAGCTCTCAGTACTCCAGGCCAACTGCCTTGTTTTCTACTGAGGCCTCTTTGTCCCTCTGGCTGTTCCTTCTTCCAGGGTAAGGTTCTAAACAGCAAGTGCCTTCTCCCACTCCTCTGTGGTCTCACACACTTCTCCATTTTATTGCCTTCAAAGAACTATACTTATTTCACTCCATGAATACTTGACATGTTTTGCACTAATTTTAAAAAGTATATTTTAAGGAATCAAACTATTTAAAACTAAAACCACCACAAAAAACCCAAAAACACACAAACCATGAATGTATTTACTTATTCATTTGAAAAGGACTACCAATACATCAGGAACTATTAAATACAGCCACGGTCCACCAGAGAGCAACAGGGACATTTCCAAACTCTCCAAGCTGAAAAGTCTAACGGGAAACCAAACAAGAAAACGCACAATATAAGAAAGTACTTAACACATGATATATGAAATACAGAGTAATTTGCAAGCATATACATATACAACCAAACGAGAATGCCAAGTAGGTGGCTAGAAAGCCTTATCATTTTCTGAGAGCATTTTCTTATCATTTTTGGAGAGCACTCCAGGCAGCAGGAAGGACATATTCAAAGGCAAACACAAAATATCGATGGCCAACAAACTAGTTAAGTAGTGGTTTAGTAAGGAGTGGTGCTGCCAACCCAAAGCTGGCAATCATATCCACCAGCTCCGTGGGAGAAAGACGGGAGATTAATGTGATCCAAGGGTCAACTCTGGCTCCAAGGCCATGCAATTAAGTGGATAAAAATGTGTGAATTTTTAATAAGCTACTGAGGGTGAGACCAGGCTGCTCCTTGGAGGCAAGGATTCTGACACTTTGTCTGACATACTCTGGACATGTTGCAAGGTTGGGCCAGTCCTTGGATAGACATATCATGCTTGGCAAGGAAAGTGCAAGAGAGGAAGACCCTCAATGAGATAGATTGATTCAGTGACTGGGGTAATGGGGATAGGTGTTTCAGAGACAGTAAGACTGGCACAGGATAGAGTAGGGTTTAGGGTTGTTGTACATAGAGTCACTGTGAGTCACAAGTGACTCCATGGCACATAACAACAACTATGTCACAAACAGGAATTAACAAATAACATTTTATTAGCAAATAAGTATAGTCACCCATCAATATCCATAGAGGATTACTTCCAGGACCTCCAACAGATACCAAAATCCATAGATGCCCCTCTGTCTCTCTCACTGCCACTAGTTTGGAACAGACTCATAGCTGACCCTCCAGTGAGATTTCTGAGGCTATAAATCACACAGGAGGAAATGGCCCATCTTTTTCCAGTAAAAGTTATTGATGAATTCAAACTACCAGAGAAGTGTGGCCTTTAGGTTAGCAGACGTCCCTTATACTATATGGCTTAAATAGACTGCCTAGTTCGAAGGGAGCTCTGGTGTCCTAGTAGGAACTGTGCTGCAGACCTGAAGGCATGTGGTTCAAATCCACCAGCTGCTCTGTGAGAGAAATATGGGCAATCTCCTCCTGTGTGATTTACAACCTCTAAAAACCCACTGGAGGGTCAGCTATATGCAGGTTCCAACTTAGCAGCGTTGCACTGACAACCCAAAGGCATATGGTTCGATCTACCAGCTGCTCCATGGAAGAATGATGGGCAATCTCTTAGTATGAAATTAACTGTCTCTAAAAACCTGCTGGAATCAGCAACAAGTAGATTCTGACTCGATGGTACAAAACAAGTATACATTTCATTCATCTCTGAGGGCTGGTTTGACAACTTAATTGCATTATAGAAGCCATATTTTCACACACAAAGGGTTTGAGCAAGGGAGACTTGAGGGAAGCAATTCTCAAACACGGGATGCTAGAGATACTCTTACTACTGAAATAGTGGGAAGCTGTAGCAGGGTAAAAGGGAGCATAGTAGCAAGGTGGCCTAGTGGTTAGGAGTCAACCCGAAAGCGCATGGTTCAAATCCACTAGCTTTTCCACAGAAGAAAGATGGGCAATCTCTGCCCATGAGAATTACAGCCTCTGAAAACCTGCTGGAGGGTCAGGCACAGGTCAGTTCTGACTTGACGGTACATAACAAGAACAACAACATAGCAGTGTATGTTATATGCTATCACTTCATTTGAGAGGAGTCAGTGTAGAGATTGATCAACATGTGGCAAATTCAAATTCTGCTTCTTTTTGGAGCTCTTCGGAATCTCTTCCAAAATAAGTTAAAGACAAAATTGGACCTCCAGAGGGGAGACTGTAATGAGCCAACTGCCAAAAGGGGGGCAAGGAGGAATGTTAGCACTAAGCACAAAAATCTTTTTTAGTAAAATAGGTTTGTTTGTCAGTATGAAAACTGACCTTAAAACCCAAATCATATAAAACTATTTTTTAAATGATTCATTTCTTCAGTGTAATTTTATATTTAAATATTTCCTGCATATAAAACACTGAATCAGCTACTACAATTACTTAGAAAAGTATAGATTATCCTTCTCAGAGCTTTTAAATAAAAAGCCAAAGCAGTCACGTGGTAAAGTTACCATCCAACTTAAAGAGCACCAAGGATTCATTCTGAAAGGTGGTTTTTATCAGGGCAGCTCAAAGTGAGAATAAGTTTATTTCTACTTCCTTAAGTTTTCCTTCACAGAATTCCATTACTTTTTAGAGTTATAAAATTAGTCTGAATCCAAGGGAAAGCTTAACTGAAAGGATAAGAAACGAATTGGACTCTGAAGATGAGTAGAACTTTTAAAAGCCAAAAAAGGGGACAAACCTCCTACACTATAGAAACAGCTTATTTATGATGTCACCATCTGTTTCAAAGAAGCATGACAACACTTGACCTCAAATAGACAAAGTGAAAAGGTACTAAGCATTCACTCACCATCAGATGAAGTACTACTTCCACCAGCAAAAACTTTCCTTAACACAAAAAGCCCATCCTAGCCCCTCCTAAGCCCCCAAATGATTTTGAATTAGAAAACCTCACTTAAATAGTTCCAATATCACTTTTTTCTGGAGGGGGTGGCATCTCTAATACTCTAATCATTTGTTACTTGTAGTCTTCTCCATAAAACCATCTTCAAATAACCTTTCAGTCTCCAAAGCTTAAAACTATGCCTGGTCATTCAATTAGATGTTGGCTGAGCAAAGGACACATGTCTATTAAAGAAATGAGTACTAATTCGACCTATGCCTGCTTTTCATGTAATCACAAAAACACCTCCCGGCCTAAAATAACTTCTCAGTTGACGATGGCTCTCCAGAGCAGTACTCTGAAAGGGGCCAAAGTAACACCTGGAATTTAACAGTCTTCAAAATTGGCAGTGTCTTAACTGCCTTCTCGCAGGGTTAGAGAATCCCAACCTTCAGAGAATAATCTACCGGGAATGCTAATATTAACCAACCTCACTTAGTACTGTTTGATGCTCCACACTTTAGAAAGCTATATAGTTCCTTAGTCATCTTTTGTATTCATATCTGTCAGTAATTTTCGTTTGCATGATGCCAGGTGATGTCTGTAATTATCCAATGCATAAAGAGAGATGTTATGTTTGCTTTAAAACCATTTTAAACTCCCAGAATGCACTCATAAGTACATTTGTTTTTCTTCTTTTCCCCTCCATGAAATATATGTTCCCATATCCTCTTTTCTTTTTTATTTGAAAATACAATTATAATAAGCATTACCATGCACGGACTGAGGATACACCTCAAGATCATCTGACTGTCTTACTGTTTGGGCCTTTTTAGTATGTATTTTTTTATACTGTCTCCAAAGTTTACAACTCGGTAATAATTTAAAAAAAAAAAAAAAGCCATATTAACACCTGGCTCAAACCACGTCCCGCACTAAAGGTTTGAACACCATAACGCAAATTTTCACTATGTAAATTTAATACCATTAAAGAGCCAGGGGAAAAGAAAAGTAAACATTGTGTGAATTCGTTTAGAACGAATCGACAATGATTCATGGGTATTTTTGAAAGAAATGTCAAGGGGAGGGAAGAACGAGCCACGTGTGTGCTGCGACAGGAAGGGAAGGAACAATGGGAGGGAGGGGAGGTGACAATCTTCCGCGCATAAATATCGCCGGATCCCAGCCTTACTAAAGTCCTTTCCATATGACACGGGCCAGTGCCTCCCTCATCGTAAAGAATAATCAACCCCAGAAGGCAAAAGTAAGGGCTTACAACTACACTCCTCGCTGTCACTCTGAGGTCCTGCAGTGTCGTCCCGTTCCGTTCCCCCCCCCCCCCGAATTCCAGTCTGGCACGGTGAAAAGGACCTTATGGATCAAAGTGGACACCAACAGGCTAGGGTCCCGGCCTGAACAACAAAAATGACGGCCCAGCACGGCTTTACCACTAACCTTCATCGTAGTTATAGCCTCGGACATTCCGATGCCGGGCCATGGCAGCGGCGGGAGCGTTCCCTACGGCTCCTTGCTAAATACTCAGATATTGATAAGGCGCCAACTGCAGCACAGAGAACACCGGTGCGCCATCTTGGCTTCCGGCAAGAGACGGCGCCGAGCTCCTGCGCATGCGCGGCGCGACGTCTTCGCTGACGGCAACCTCTCAGGGTCAATGACGAAGCCCCGCCCACCGACGCCAGCGCACTGGAGAGGCGCCGGCCTACCGGGAGTTGGAAGATGTTTGTCAAGTTCACGGAGAGTTTGCCGCGGGAAAGTTCCCAGCGTGCGAAATTTCAGTGAAGGGATTTCTTAAGTTCTCACCAAGTATCGAGAGTGGGTTCCCGTAAATGTGCCAGCGTTACACATAAGTTTTAGATTTGGTTTCTGATAATCTAGTGAAAAAACAATCTGCCCTCACCGAGACTGCTGTTAAGTGCTATTGAGTAGGTCCCCGCTGATACTCATCCCAAACGCAAAAGAAAACCCAGCCCCATCCCTGCTGTACTACTTAAATCCGTTGTTCCACTCATTGTGTCAACTCAATTCAGCATTGAAAACTAATAAACAATTCTCATCCTTAGCAAGAATAGTGATTTTTATCAGTTTCATAACGGATTCAATAATCATTCATTAAGCATAATTCTAAGTAGTTCTTGTTTTTATGTGCCATCGAGTCGCCTGCTATTCAGCGACCCTATGTACAACAGCTCTAAGCCCTGCTCTATCCTGTGCTCAACTCAACTGTCTCCGACACTTCTATCCCCATTAACCCAGTCACTGAATCAATCCATCTCACACAGATCCTTTCCTGCGCTGTCCCTCCACCCTCCCAAGCATGATGTCCCTCTCCAAGGACTGATGCCACCTTGCAACATGTCAGACGAAGCTTCAAAATTCTTGCCTCCAAAGAGCAGCCTGGTTTAAACCCTCTCTAGGCAGAACCTGTTCGTTTCCTTAGCAGTCCATGGTATATTCTTTTCCAACACCACAACTCAAAGTCATCAATTCACCTTCTATCCTTCCTAGTCATCCCAGTTCTCTGATGTATAGCAAGTGATTGCAAAGGCCATGGCCTGTATCAGGCGCACCTCAGTCTCCAGACTGACATCGTTGCTCTTCAGTACTTTGGAGAGGTCTCTAACAACAGACTCTCATCCCAATAGGTCTTTTAAGGTCCTGGCTGCTAGTGCCAAGAGTGTTGATAAGTAGCATAAGCGTGTTAAAAATAGCTTTTTAGACATATTACTAGATTTCATGGTAAAAAAAGGTATCCATTTATGTGTGTAAATAAAATTTCTTCCACCAGTAGCTAGTCTTTTCATTACCTTAACTAGACCAATTTTAAAAATCATAATAAACAGAGAAAAAATTGAAGTTGTCAAGAATTACATTTTACTACGATCCAAAATCAACACACATGGAGGCAGCAGTCAAGAATCTAACCTAATGTGTTCCATTGGACAAATCTCATGGAAAGGGTATCTTTAAAATGCTAATGATCAAGGATGTCACTTTGAGGACCAAGGTATGTGTAACCCAAACTATGGCATTTTTATCACCTTGTATACATGCAAAACTTCATTCATTTATAAGGAAGATTTTTTTTAAAGTGTTGTCTTTGAATTGTGGTGCTGTCAGTATTATAAAAAAAAAAAAAAGCTACAAAAAAAGCAGACAAATCTATTGTGAAAATACAGCCAGAATTATCTTTGGAAACAGGATAGTGAGATTTTATCTTTTTATTTTTCTTTTTTTTTTAAATCTTTTTTCTTTTTTATTTATTATTAATTTCAGTAAAAATTTACAGAGACTTTGGATTTCCATTAATTCATTGTTACACTTTTCTCCCCTACCATCCCCCCTAGTACACTACCCTTTTGTAAAAGTAAATAAAAAATTCTTTCATTGTTTTACAAACCCTCCCCCAGGTCCAGTCCACCATGCAGCCTTCACTCTAGACATCTGTCATGACAAAAATACCTAATCGCATATCCCTTTTAAACAGTTTTCTCCCTCATCTGTTTCAATGCAGTATACACTATTGAACCCATCTCTCTCAGTCTCCCCCAAACCCCGAGGTCAGTCCTGTTTTACAACAGTGGCACCATGCACAATTTGTCCTTTTGTGACTGAGATACTCAGAATTGTGTCCTCCAGGGTCACCCATTTTGAATAACATTGTGTGAGTTCCTTGTTTTTCAACGCAGTGTAGTATTCCATTGTGTGAATATAACACAGCTTCTCTATCCATTCTTTTGTTGATGGGGACTTAGGTTGTTTCCAACTCCTTGCTATTGTGAACAAAGCAGCAATAAACATGGGTGTGCATAAATTTCGTCTTATATAATTCAGGCATGTTATTAGGAGGAGCAAGTTCCTGGAGAGCAACATCATGCTTGGTAATGTAGAGTGTCAGAAAGAGCTCTGTGGAGATGGATCTACATAGTGTCTCCAACTCTAGACTCAAGCATAGCGCAGACTGTGAAGGTGACTCAGGACCCGGCAGTGTTTTGGTATGCTGTAGGCAGCATCACAAAGATGTGGGGCGAGCTTCATGCACAGCACTTAACAACAACAATGACGGCTGAACAATTTAGGAAGAATTGACAATTTTTAATAATATTGTCTTCCAACACATGCAAACCATATGACACCCATCTAAATAGATGTTCTTCAATTTGCCAAGCAATATTTTTTAGCTTTCCGTTACTGGTCAGTCTTGCATGACTTTTGAAGATGTAACTCTTAATAATTAATGATTTGTATGCCATTATATCGGAAGCAGGAGTGGAGTCCACTTCCTAAAAAGCATGCCTCCGGAAACCCTATGAACTTTGATAAATATCAATGGTTGTAGGAGGACTTTGGGCCTTTTGTTCATGGGATCGCTATGAGTCGTGCTAGACTCGAAGGCAATCAACAACAACAATAATAACATTCCATTATAAATGGCATGTTTTAAACTTCGAATTTAAAATTCTGCAGAAATTATTTGAACCAGTAAGCTATTTTGTCACATCACTACACAAAAATTATATTTATGTAAAACAGAAAAAAATGAAAATAAAATTTAAACTGGCAACATTAGCACCTAAATATCAAATATCTAAGAATAAGTGCTGTATGTAAGCCAGTATAAAATAAATTTTTTAAGATCATTAAAAAATAACATTTAAAAAAAATCTAAAACAAGACATAAAAGCCTATGCTGAAAGGAAAAAATCACTACTAAGATTAAACAAAATTAAGTGGATAACTATAAAACATGTTGGTGAATTGTTGTTGCTATGTGCTATCAAGTCATCTGTGACTCTTGCGACCCTATCTATATCAAATAACTCTGAACCTTGCCCTATCTTGAGCGAGTCTCACTATCTACAACACACCTACCCCCATTACTGCAGTTACTGTGTCAATCCATCCCGTCCAAGGTCTTCCTCTCCTGTGCTGTCCCTCCACCCTTCCAAGCATGATATCCTTCTCTAAGGACTTGTCTCTTCTGGCCTATGCCCAAAGTATGTCAGATAGAGCTTCAAAATCTTTGCCTCCAAGGAGGAGCCTGGTTTCACCCTCTCCAGGTTAAATCTGTGGTATATTCAAGACTCTTATCCAGCACCCCAACTCAAGGGCACTAATTCTTCTGTTTTCCCTTAGTTATTGTCCAGCTCTCCGGTGCATAGCAAGTAATTATGAGGATCACAGCTTGGATCAGGCACACCTTAGTCTCTAGACTGACACTGTTGCTTTTTTGTACTTTGGAGAGGTTTCTGACACCAACTTTCCCCAGAGTAATTTGTCTTTGATTTCTTTGCTGCTAGTGACAAGAATGTTGATTGTGGAGCCAAGCAAGCTGAAACTGTTGACAACTTCAATCCCTCTCCATCTATCATGGTGCTGCCAGTGGGCCCAGTGGTGAGAATCTTTGTCTTCTTGATGTTGAGCTTCAATCATTACTGAAGCCTACAATCCTTTACCTTCTGCAGAAAATACTTAGGTTCTCCTCAGTTTCAGCAAGCCAGTGTGTGTCATCTGCATAATGTAGGTTGTTGATGAGTATTCCTCCAAAACTGATGCCACATTCCTCCTCATAAAGTCCAGCCTCCAGAATGATCTGTGCTGCATATAGATTTAAATGGTATGGAGACAGGATACATCCCTTATACATTCCTTTCCTGATCTTGAACCATGTGGTGTTCCCTCCCTCTGTTCTGACAACTGCCTCCTGGTCCAAGTATAGATTTCACATGAGCACAATCTAGTGTTCTGGGATTCCAATTCTCAAGGTTAGCCACAATTTGTCTTGATCCACACAGTCAAATGCCTTGGCATAGTCAATGAAACACAGATAGACACTCCTCTGGTCCATCTGACAATGACTATGATGTCCCCAGTGCAACGCCCTCTTCTTAACCCAGTTTGTACTCTTGTGACTTCCTTTGCCATTCCATGATTGATATGTGGACTTATGATTATACTTGAATAATTTAAATTTTATTTTAGCCATGATTATTACCAAATATCTGTAAAACTTATAAGCTATAAACTTTTTCCTACAGCCGCTCTTTCAAATAAATTTCTTTTATATTAATTTGGAAAGGGTTAAACGGATGACTCCTTGGAGGCAAGGATTCTGAGGCTCCGTCTAACATACTTTGAACATGTTGTAAGGAGAGACCGGTCCTTGGAGAAGGACATCATTCTTGGGAGGGTGGAGAGCAGTCGCAGGAGGGGAAGGCCCTCTATGAAGTGGATTGAGTCAGTGACTGGGGTCATCGGGATGGGAGTGTCAGAGACAGTGCTATTGGCACAGGACAGAACAGAGTTTAGTGCTGTTGTGCATAGGGTCGCCATGAATGGCAAGCGACTCGACGGCACATAACAACAACAACATCACATCAAAGTGCTATAAACTGGGTAACTTAAACATTCCTATCTCACAATTTTGGGGACTGAAATGTCAAATCAACATGTCCAACAGCCCACGATCTTCCTAAAGAT